CGAGGGCCTGACCCTGGAGGTGGGCAGGGCAAGCTGCCTCCCTGTAGGTCAGACATCACGAGGCACTTCCTGGGTGTCGGAGCCAGGAGGAAATCCACCACCAGGGAGGCAGGGGGCTGGGGTCGGCTCCAGATCGAGGTTGGGGTGTGGGAGTCTCAGGGGAAGGGGAGCCTGAGGGTGGGGCAGCAGGGCCCCTGTCAGGGCCAGGTCTGGGGGCATCCAGCCCGCAGCCATGCCAGGTGCCTGGTCCCTGGGCCAGGATGGCCTAGGGCTGCCCCTTTGCCTGGGGGTGTCTCCCTGGTGGCAGGGAGGGGAGGAGCAGGCAGGCCTCCTCTTGCTTCTCTGACCTCTGTCCCCACCCCTGTGTGCAGTCCTCAGACCCAGCTGTGCGGGAGTCAGGGCCCTTCCCCGGCCCCTCTCCTGGGCCCTGCTTCCTGCCCAGCCAGGCTTTGTGGTTCCAGCGCCCCCACCCTGCCTGGTCCTCCTGGCCTTCAATGCCTGCCTGCCGCCCCCGGGGTGCCAGCCCTCCCCACCCACACCTTCCCAGGCTTATCCGCTCCTCCCTCAACCCTCAACCGCAGCGCAGCGCCCAGACCGGGGCACACCCAGGGCCTCAGGGGTCTCCCATTCTGGGGCCCCACCTAGCTCCCACAAGGGCAGGAATCCCAGTGACTAAGCTCCCCCCAAGGTCACTCAGCGTGGAGCCGGAACTTGAACTTGGCCCTCCTCCCTGCCCTTCTGGGGCCGCCCCTCCTGGGCCTGACTGACTGGGCACCCTGCTTGGCCCCCCCCACACCCAGAAAATGGCCGCAGTAAAACCAAAGTGCATCCTGGGCCCCAGGCCCCCAGAGCCAGGGTCTTGCCCTGCCCCACCCCCACTGGCTTACATGGCTTCCTGCCCCCTCAGCTAAGCAGCCCCCACGGGGGCAGGGTCCCCGCAGGCCTGGAGTTAGCCCCTTCCCCAGGTGCTTCACCACCCTGGTGACCTGGACCCCCCTGCCCCCAGGTAGCTGAAGGCCTAGGCATTCCCAGCCTGGACTTCCCCAAGGGGAGGGGCCACACGTCGCAGCCTGTGCGTGTCTGTGTGTGCACCTGCAGGCCTGGGTCTGCGACGGCACGTTTGTGTTTCGCCCAGGTGTGTGTGTACCTGGACACACGTGCCTGGTGCCCTCGGTCGAGCCCGCCAGGAATCCCATTAAGCAAACACTCAGGCTCACCCACTGAGGTCATGAACATTCCAGACATTCTCCACGGAGAGATGGACAGAGGAATCTGGCCAAGCCCCCTCTGGCGAGCTGGGACCCTCGGTAGCATGTGGAGGGGGCAGCAGAAGTGGCCGGGCGAGGGAATGTCCCTGGCCCCCAGGCCTCTCACACCTCAGGGGGGCCCCCTTCTGGGTAGGACCTGGTCAATGCAGCCAGTCCTGGGGTGCTCCAGGCTGGCCCCCCAGCCCTCTGGCCACACCAGCACCGCCGGCAGGCCCGACACTGAAGCCACAGAGGGACACATCCGATAGCGCCGGCGGGAGGGAGATGGTGTGGGTCCAGGACCCCGTGGTCTCCCATGGGGAGCTGGCCTCAGAGCCACTGAGGGACAGCCGGGGAGGCCTGTCCAGGGACATGGGGCTGCTCCAGCAGCCAGGCCTTAGTTTCCCCAAAATGCAGCTCGGGAGAGGTCAGGGCCGGGCCCAGAGACAAGCTCTGGGGTTGTGCCCCTGGAGAGGCCCGCACTGGAGGGAGCTCGGCCTGGGTCTGCCCTGGGGAGGCCCAAGGCGCCCACCCCTCTCTGTTTGGAGGCGGTCATGCCAGCGCTGGTGCCTCAGGCCGGCTCCAGCCTCAGGAAGACTCCTCTGAGCCCCCACCCACATCCACCTGTCCACTCCCTCCCTCGGACCCAGCCCCTGCTGCCAAGGGTCCTACTCTGGGCCACCCTGCTGTCCCCCTCCATCAGAGTGAGAAGACGCTGCACCCCCAGACTGCCTTCTGGGCACCCAGGACGCAGGACTCCTGTCCACACGGCCTCTTCCTTGCTAGGCCTTGCGCTGGGAGGGAGCTGAATGCATGGGGGCGTGTCTCCACGTGTGTGCCAGAGCCCTTTGGGGGTGGGCCTAGGTGGGCAGGGGTGGGCCGGAGGCTAGGCTCCCTCTGGACCTTGCCCTCTGGGGCCCCAGGCGCCGCCGTCCTGAGCCTTTGAAGGTACTGCTCCCTCTACTTGGAAGGCGCTTTCTCCCCACTACTTCCAAGCCTCCCAGACAGCCTCTGGAGGGGTCCTGCAGACAGCGAGGGTCTGGGCCCAGATGGGGCCTCAGGGACCACCACCTGGACGCAGGGCACGGCTCAGGGGCCTCTGCTCCCTGAGGGACCCCTTGCCCTGCCCAGGCCAATCACGGCTCTGGCCCCTGGATCTGGGCACAGGGAGGAGGAGGTCCAGGTCCTGCCCTGGGAGTAGCCAGGCCACCAGCCAGGCCAGGAGGAAGTGTCAGCTCCACTCCTCTGTCCAACCAGGTGTTGGCTGCTGCTGCCGAGGACACCATGAGCCAGTCTGGGTCCGTGAGCTGCTGCCCTGGTGCCGCCAAGTGAGCTCTCCCCTGTCCACCCCTCACTCCCCAGCAGTCCCCAGGGAGGGGTGCGGTGTGGGCCCCACCCTCACCAGCCCCTCCCCTGCAGTGGCAGCCTGGGCAGGTCGGAGGGTGTGGCCAAGATGAGCCCCAAGGACCTGTTTGGTGAGTGAGGCTGCAGGCGGGCGGGATGCAACGGGGGAGCGGGCATCGCGTCCCTGGCATCCCTGGCAGGGAACAACCCCTCTAGCCCCGAAGTTGTGCTGGGCCCTGATTCGGGGAGCTCAGCCCGGTGGGAGACAGGGTGGCCCTCATCCACCTGCAGGCTCCTGGCTCTGCGCCCCCTCCCCCACACCTGTAAGGGGAGAGGCCTTCACGAATAATTCAGGGAGCATCAATATTGATCACCGCACTCCTTGCAGCAACCGGATCGCAGAGGGGGCGGGGGCTCAGGCTGACCCAGCTGCCAGGTGTCTGCTCCAGGAGGGAGGGGCCTGGCCAGCCCCACCTGCTCCCATGCTGCCCTGCCCCCACCCCTCCCCGCACTGAACCCCCAGCTGGACACCTCCCCTCATTGGTGCTTTGGGACGGGCACCCAGGGAGATTTCAGTTGGCAACTCTTGGGGTGGGAGGACGGGGTGGGAGGATGCCCTGGCCCAGGCCCCTCCCCTAGGAGGTGGGCATAGGCGTGGGGCAGCCTCCTGCCCCCACCCTCTGGGACAGACATCCCCAGTCACAGGCTGCCCCATCACCACCCTGAGCAAACCCCTGGCCCTCTCTGAGCCTCGGTCTTCCCCCAAGGGGGCTTCGCGGGGGCTGTCCTGGGCGGAGGGAGAGGGCTTCCTGCAGACCCTCGCCATCCCCAGGAGGGCCTCCCCGAGTCTCACACCCTGGGTCCTCCCTCATGGCCCCACCTGGGGGTCCAGTCCCAGCTGACGGGGGACCGCGGTCCCGCCATCTGGGGCTGAGCAACCGGCATCTCCCGTCCAGAGCAGAGGAAAAAGTACTCCAACTCCAACGTCATCATGCACGAGACCTCCCAGTACCACGTCCAGGTGAGGCCCCGCGCCCAGGAGCACCCTCCTCGGGCACCCCTGCTGTCGGTGCCCCAGGGTCCTCAGGCAGGTGGGGACACCGGCCCAGGGAGAGCGGGCCTGCCCCACACCCGTCCTGGGCCCGGCTGTGGTGGGGAGCGAGCCTCCCTCCAGTCCTGGGAGCTCAAGGTCTGGGGGCCGCAGGGAGCCCCGCCCCGGCTGTGCTGGAGGTACACCCGGTGCCTGCAGCCCTGGACGGGAAGAGCCAGTGGGAAGGAAATTGTCACCCTGGCCCCAAAACAGGGAACTGGATCAGAAGGCAGGAGGTGGAACAAAGACGCCCTTTGTCGAGCACTGTGCAGGGGGCCTTGGAGGGCCAGCTCCGAGAGGCCTGACTTGGTCGCCTGCCCTCAGACCAGCTGCCAGCTCGAGAGGGTTCTCTCCTCGGGCAGTTTTAACTCACCCATAGAACTCAGGAAGAGGTTTTTTAAATGACCTTCCTGGCCGGGGTGTGGTGGCGCCTGTGGTCCCAGATACTCGGAGACCCAGGCGGAGGATCAGGGAGCCCAGGAGTTCGAGGCTGTGACCGCTGCTCTCCAGCCGGGCAACAGAGCAAGAGCCTGTCTCTTCAATAGAAGGAAAAAAGAACTTCCGGCAGGCCGGGCGCGGTGGCTCACGCCTGTAATCCTAGCTCTCTGGGAGGCCGAGGCGGGCGGATTGTTTGAGCTCAGGAGTTCGAAACCAGCCTGAGCAAGAGCGAGACCCCGTCTCTACTAAAATAGAAAGAAATTAATTGGACAACTAAAAATATATAGAAAAAATTAGCCGGGCATGGTGGCGCATGCCTGTAGTCCCAGCTACTCAGGAGGCTGAGGCAGGAGGATCGCTTGAGCCCAGGAGTTTGAGGTTGCTGTGAGCTAGTATGAGGCCAGGGCACTCTAGCCCGGGCAACACAGTGAGACTCTATCTCAAAAAAAAAAAAAAAAAAGAACTTCCGGCGCCTGGGAGCGGGCCGGTTCCTGGTGGTGGTCCAAGCCCCCAGGATGAGGAAGGGGGAGGGGAAAGGAGCCTGGAGCCTGGGGCCCTGCTGGGGACGCCCTCTGCCCTGCCACTCCCCGCCGGCCCTGGCTGCTATGCTCGCCCTCGCCCTGTCCTCCCACCTCGCAGGGGGCTGTGCCGCAGAGGTGAGGAAGTCCCAGTCTCCGAGCCTCCGTTTCCTTGTCTGTAGAATGGGGCCAAAGAACACAGGAACTCCCTAAGGCTCCTGAGCGGGGCTGCGTGGGGCTCTCCCAGCCCACCTGAGCAGGGCGGGTCGTCTGTGTGACCAGGCTGGTGACAGCTGCCCCCTCAGCCTCCAAGGGGAGGGCACAGAGGGGTGGACGGGTCAACCTTGGTCCCTTGTTTCCGGGCAGATCTGCCACCTTTCTCAGGGGTGGGACTTTGCCCTTCTTGGTGAGGAGCCACCTCCGGGCTCCCGGACTTTGGTCCAAGCTGGCCTGGCTGGGCCAGCTGTTGCGAGAGGCCCACAGCCGCTGGGAGCTGCCAGCAAGGGTAGGGGAGAGGGTGGGGTCTCCCTGCCCCTCCCAGAGGAGGAAACCGAGGCCCAGAGAGAGGGTGAGAGTCGGAGGGACCAGCCAGGGCAAGGTCAGCCCCCTTGCCGTGGGGGACCGCTGGAGCCTGCCTGTCTCCTTTTTCCCAAATCGTCACCCTGTGAAGCTGGCGTGTGCGGGGTGAGCCGCTCTCCCCACAGCCGGACACAGACCCGCGCCGTCGCCCAGACCCTGCCCTGCAGCCCCTGTGCGCGGCCCCAGCCTCCCGCAGGGATGTCTGTCCTCCGTCACCGCGGCATCGTCTTTTGCAGAATGTCCCGTAACTGAATCGTGCAGCTTGTGGGCGCTCTCTGTTCTGCTTCGTCACCTTACTTTAAGAAACCGGCCGCGTGGAGGAAGACGCCGGGTGGCACCGGGCAGGTGGCCCTGCTTCTGCGCCCACCCACGGGGACCTGGTCCTTACTGGTGGGGAGGGTCGGGCTGTGACCTGGCGATGCCTCTCGCTGTCTGCACGGGTCAGACCTGTCAGTTTGTGTGCACGACTGGCTTTGGATGAGCAGAAATGTTTGAATGACGTCCAGTCCCTCCTTTTTCTCTTGTGGTTCTTTTGTGGTTTTTGGCTCCTAAGAAGTCGTTGCGTGACCAGGGCCCTGGAGATTTCTTCCTGTGTTTTCTTTGCTTGCTTTCTTTCTTTCTTTTTTTTTTTTTGAGACAGGGTCTTGCTCTCCTGTCATCACAGCTCCCTGCGGCCCCACACTTATGGGCTCAAGGGATCCTCCTGCCTCGGTTTCCCGAGTAGATGGGGCTACAGGCCACCACTGCGCCCAATTCCTTTTGCTAGTTTTTGTAGAGATAGGATCTCTCTGTGTTGCCCAGGATAATCTTGAACTCCTGGCCTCAAGGGCTCCTCCTGCCTCAGCCTCCGGAAGTGCTGGGGTTACAGGCTCCTGGCTCCTGCTAGAATTGTGATTGGCGTTAAGTCAAATCTGTGAATCAATTTAGGGAGAATTAACATCTTCACGATAGTGAGGCTTCCCGTCCATGAACCTGGTGTCTCCATGTTAGGTCTTCTGTAATCTCTTTCAGTAAGTTTTGTGGTTTTCCTCATAGAGGTATCACATAGCTTTTGTTACGCTAGTCCTTAAGTATTTGATTTTTATATGCTGTTGTAAATGGTATTATTTTATTGCTTTTTAATTTCATTTTCCAACTGTCTGTTGCTAGCATATAGAAAAATAATTAAATTTTCGTATGGTGATCCAGTGCCCCAAGACCTTGCTGAACTTACTTATCGTAGCGATTTGCTTGTGGATGATTGGATTTTCCATGTATATAATCACAGTGTCTGAAAATAAAGACGGTTCTTGGTTTCTTATTTTTACACGTACGTATTTTCTGACCCCACTGCCCTGGCTAGGACCACAGGTGCAGCACAGAGCCAGATACGGGTGAGGACAGTGGACCCCCGTCTTGTGTCCGGTCTTAAAGCAGTCAGTGTCCGTGTGCCACGTGTCCACAGATATTCTTATTCGAGTGTGGAAGTTCCTTTTCATTCTTTGCTTGCTCAAAGTTTTTATCATGAACGGTATTGAATTTTGTCAACTGCTTTTTATGAATCTACTGAGGTTTATTCATTACTGTTTTGTTTTTTTGATTTTTGTTTTTTTTTGAGACAGAGTCTCACTCTGTTGCCTGGGCTAGAGTGCCGTGGTGTCAGCCTAGCTCACAGCAACCTCAAACTCCTGGGCTAAAGCGATCCTCCTGCCTCAGCCTCCTAAGGAGCTGGGACTACAGGCATGCACCACCATGCCCGGCTAATTTTTTCTATATCTATTTTTAGTTGTCCAGCTAATTTCTTTCTATTTTTAGTGAAGATGGGGTCTCACTCTTGCTCAGGCTTATCTTGAACTCCTGACTTCAAGCAATCCTCCTGCCTTGGCCTCCTGGAGCGCTAGGATTACAGGCGTGAGCCACTGCGCCCGGCCTCATTACTGTTAATTTAGTAAATCATACCGAGTGATTGTTTTTAATGTGGAATCGACTTTGCATGTCTGGGATAACCCGTGTATCTGTGCGTGCCATCCTGTGCATGTGCTGACGTGCTGATTTGCTAATATTTTGCTAATGTTCTTGCATCGACGTCCATTAAGGATATTAGTCTTTAACTTTCTTTTCTTGTAATGCCTTTGGCAGGTTTTGGTGTCAGCGTTGTGTTGCCTGACAAATCGGTGGGGAAGTATTTCCCATTCCTCTGTTTTTAGAAAGTTTGTGAAAGCTTGTTATTAGTTTTTCCTTAAATATCCACCCGTGAAGCCTGAGTACAGGATTTTCTTTGTGGGAAGGGTTTGGTTATTAATTGCCTTTCGTGCCTGTAAGATCTGCAGTGATGACCCCCTCTTTCCGTCTGGTTTATGAGAATTTGTGTTTTCGCTAGCATTTTTCCTGATCAGTCTTGCTAGGGGTTTATCAACTTTATTAATCTTTTCAGAACCAACTTGGGTTTTGTTGATTTTTCTCTCTTGATTGTCTGTTCACTAATGCATTGGTTTCTGCTCTTCGTTTCCTTCCTTCCACTAAGTTGGGATTTTGATCATCTTTTTCTAGCTTCTGAAGGTGAAAGCTTAGATCATTGATCTTTAAGTCTTTCTTCTTTTCTAACATATTCCTTGGAAGCTATAAATTTCCCTCAAAGTACTGCTTTAGCTGTGTCCCACAAACTGTGACATGCATATTTTTGTTATCATTTGGATCAGAATAGCTTCTAATTTTCCTTGTGACTTCATCTTTGACCCAGGGATTATTTAGAAGTATTTTGCTTTATTTCCAAATATTTGCAGACTTCCTAGTTATCTTTAACTATTGGTTCCTAATTTAATCCCATTATGGTCAGAAAACATATGCGATTTACTGAAGCTTGTCATGGCCCAGCAGCCTGGCTGTGCCATCTTTTACTAACGACGTGTGTTTAGGGTTGACTCTGCCTCGCGCAGACGAGCGCCTCACAATCCCTGTGTGTTCCCCACTCATTCTTCAGCCTGTCCATGGGCAAGTGGCCTGGGTCCAGCCTTTATTATTACACACAGTTCTGCACTGAGCAGGCCAGTGCCACATTTTGCACCTGGCTGTGCTGGTTCCCTGTGGTGGGACTGGGAGGGAAGGTGTGCGCACCTGTACAGGTTCCCCTGGCTACTCCCGAGAGAGGCTGCGCAGGTGCTGGATGGAAACGCCCATTTCTCCACTTCCGAACCCGCCAGTGTAGCCCACAAGGACTTTTAGAATTGGTCAATAGAACAGGTAAAAAAAGTTCAATTCCTAAAATAACAGAGTCTCGGAGTTCCAATTTGCAATTCGTTTTTTTCTTCACTCACCACTATACAAACCAGGATCAACTTGCAGTTCTCTTATTCCGTAAGATTGCATGCCATTTTTTATACCAAAAAGTTACTTATGTTTATTTTTCTGTAGACTGTGCTCCATTTTTCTATTGGGGTGTTAATCTTTTACTTATTTACATATTCATTCATTTATTGTTGGTATCTTTAATTATCATACGTAACAAAATAGAGCTTTTAACAAAGAACTGGCGTTGCACATTGGTCTTTTCCTACATCAAGAAAATCAATATCTATTACCTATGTTTTTCCCACTTTTAATTTTTTTAATGTTTTTTTTTTCTTTGTATAGGGCACTTTCTTCCCAGGCAGAAATTTTTGTTTTTCTATTGCCGAATGTACTGGCCTTTACTTTTGAGCATCTGGGCTTTCTTTCCTGTTGAGCAAACACCCCATTGAGAAGGCCTTGGAGGTGATCAGGAATCATCCGGCATTTTCTTGTAGATCTTTCCTGTTAGGTGTTTTGCAGTTAAGTCTTCGACTGCCCTGGAGTCCAGTTAGTGTTCATGCAGCCGGCCCAGCACCGTCCGCCACGGGGGCTTCACTCACCTGAACGTCCAGGCAGACACCTGGGACCTGGCCGAGGGAGGGGCCCCAGCCAGGCCTGGACAGGGGAGAGGAGGGCGCAGGGCAGGGAGGGCAGGCTGGCCGGGGAGCCCGTGCATGCTGTCACCTGCATCCGCATCGGGGGCCTGCTGAGTACCAGGCACTGTCCCAGGTGACAGCAGCTGCGACCCCGGCAGCGCGTGAGCACCATGGTGGCAGGAAGAGTCTTGCACAGCATGACGCTGGATCAGATAAATGCAAAACAAGGCAGGTCAGGGACGTGGTGACAGGTGATACAGCCAGGTGGCCAGGAAGGGTGATGTCTGAGAAGGAAGAAAGAGCACAACAGACAGGCAGGAGGCAGACAGTGGCCCAGCGCTCCCAAGCAGTTTGGGATTTTTCTGAGGGTGTTTTTTGTCTGTTGTTGTTGTTGTTGCTGTTTGAGACAGAGTCTCGCTCAGGCTGGAGGGCAGTGGCGTCATCACAGCTCACTGCAGCCTCCAACTCCTGGACTCAAGCGATCCTCCTGCCTCAGCCTCCCAATTAGCTGGATTACAGGTGCTCACCACCACACCCAGCTGATTTTTCTATTTTTAGTGGAGATGGGTCTCACTCTTGCTCAGGTTGGTCTCAAACTCCTGAGCTCAAGAGATCCTCCCACCTTGGCCTCCCAGAGTGCCAGGATTACAGCTGTGAGCCACTGTGCCTAGCCTGGAATTTTTTTGGAGGGTTTATCAGGACAAAACCATGACCCCTACAGATGTCCACCAAGGCAGAATGGAGACTTCCCCACCCAAGGTGGGGCTGTGTCCCCTCAAACCCTCCAGGGCTGGCTGTGCCCCCTTAGGCTCCCAGGCTGTGGCTCCTTGGGCTTGGGCTCTGGGCATGCGGAGCGCCCTGCCCAGCAGTGACCACCTGTCCACCCCCAGCACTTGGCCACCTTTATCATGGACAAGAGTGAGGCCATCGTGTCCGTGGACGATGCCATCCGGAAGCTGGTGCAGCTGAGCTCCAAGGAGAAGATCTGGACACAGGAGATGCTGCTGCAAGTGAATGACAAGTCGCTGCGGCTGCTGGACATCGAGTCCCAGGTACCGCCCGGCGGCCAGGGTGAGCGGGGAGCAGGTCGGCGAGGCAGTGCCTGCCGTCCACCACGGCCCAGACGTGTGGCCGGGCCTCTGCAGGGGCCCGTCTTTCTGGCCATGAGAGCAGACGGGGAGAGAGGCGGCAGGCATGGCCACACAGAGCCGCGCACCCAGGGCAGGACCGGGGAGCCTGGGCCGGCTCCACTGCACACCTGCGAGGCTCGCCCCGCTGTGGCCAGGTGTGTCCAGGGCCACGTCCCTGTCTGTGGGGCGTATCCCTGGCTGTGTCCACAGCCATGGCCGTTCCTCACTGGAGTCCACAGGCCCCGCCTGGGTCCCAGGTCTTTTCTCTGCCTGTGAGTTACGCCCACGTCTGTGTCTGGCGGGAACTCCATGTGCTGGGCCCACGAGTCACATCCGTGACCATGGCATTGTGTCAGTTTCTTGGGGCCACGTCTGTGAACCGTTCCATGCACACGGCTGCAGCCCAGGTCCGTGTCCAGGGCCCACGGTGAGTCACGTCTGTGCACCGTGTCCCCACCGCCCCCCCACCGCCCCATGCAGGAGGAGCTGGAGAACTTCCCCCTGCAGACCGTGCAGCACAGCCAGACGGTGCTGAACCAGCTGCGCTACCCCTCGGTGCTGCTGCTGGTGTGCCAGGACCCCGAGCAGAGCAAGCCCGACGTGCACTTCTTCCACTGCGACGAGGTGGAGGTGCGGCCCGCGTGGGGTGGGG